GTTGTTTTCCAAAATGTGATAGTCATGGTATTCCAGAGGATAAGACTGTAGAGTTCTCCCAGTCCAAATCCCGAATGATTCCACTCGTCCATTACAACCGAAAGGGATTGCTAGATTCTACCCAGATTGCCTAAGACTTTTTATCCTAGCGCTGCTAAGGATAGGCAATCACCCACTCAAGTGTCCAGCTTCACGCATTGCCGTTCAAAAGCGGAACAGCCGTCCAAGTGCCGCTCCAAACAAAGCCGCGTAATTAACGCACCGTAGTCCTCGTAAGCCACGCCCATCGGCTGGCCCGGGCCAATCAGCGACGCCCCCTGGTGGACGGCGAAGCTGTCGAGGCGTAAATATTATTCCGTATATCATGTTTGGAATGATGTTGTCGAGTGGTACTCCATTCCAGGCAAATAAGTTTGTTGATGATGAAATGGGAAAAGTCATGGATGGGAATGTTCCCGTGCTTATATCCATGGGAAATAATTGAGGACCAGGGTCCTTTTGGGATGAAGAACGAAAAAACGAGAATCACGCAGATTTCCTTCTTTTGACAGGTTGAAAGGTAGCTGCGAAGCATTCAGCCCCAGAAAACTTCGTGAAAACAAAGTGAAAGGATCATTCACGAAAGCATCTGGAAAAAAGTGAGTTTCAGTGACGGGTTAACCGTTTGGAATCACCCACTCAAGTGTCCAGCTTCACGCATTGCCGTTCAAAAGCGGAACAGCCGTCCAAGTGTCATGTATTATAACTTCGAATAGGTCCCATTCAAAGTAACGATTTGCTTGACTGTCGAATTCTCTACGTGCAGCGTATACCTGCAGCCCATATCCACCACTACGCTCAAATCCAGATGGCAGCAGCGAACACATCAATGAAAGCAGCACCAGTTCTGGAAGACACTGACAAGACAAGCGACAGTGACGAGCGTTTTTTCTTGAAACAACAGCTTCGAACCCCTATGACATGGACCCCTATGTCAATATATGACCTCAGGAATAGTCTTAGCGGTGATGTATATCTCTGATGCTCTGCAATTTTTTAAGTAGTTCGAAAAAGGCTTAGTGTTCCGTATTCGTGGAGGGAAGAAAACCGTGGAAGGTGATAGCTATCGGGCCTGCTTCGAATTGACCTGCGGAGGCCCTACCAGAAGCATTTGCCCTCTATTTGTCATAAATAGAATGGTTTGGTTACTGAGGCAAATCTATACCTGGTTACAAGGCTGGAAAAGCTATAGACTATCAGTTACCTTCATAATGAACTCTAACCAAATCTATCATTCCAATATTGAGTACTCAGTATCGTCCCTCAAACAATTTTGAGTGTGGCAACGTTGAAGCCCTGCAGTGTTTGGAAATTTGATAGGCAATTGTAATCATGGAGAAGCCAAAAGAAGGTATTCTCGAAATGAACACCTGAATTGCTCTCTTTCACTCTCCAAGAACATCCCAACCGTCTCTTCAGCTCAAACCGTACCTTGGCCATTGTCGCAGTGTATCTTGACCCCAGTACACTTTATTTGTTTTACAGAGCAATGAAAAAGACAAAAGAAACATCAGCAAGCAGCCAGGAAGATGATGAGAAGATCTCAGTCGTTGACAATGATTCTGATGAAGAAGTGGACTGTACAGAGAAGGAGGCACCGAAAATCGCTGAGAAATCGTCGTTGCCACGATTTTCAGTCACCAACATCCTCTCTCCTTTTAATAACCTAGGTGAGCCTTTTAGCCATGTGTTTTTCATCAAGTATTGTTCTCTATATTGCATTATTCCAATATTAAGAGCCCTTCAAAACCAATGAAAAATGACTGTAATATCTGTGACTCTTCCTGAAATAATCTGTTTTGGTGCTAGCAAACTCTGTTTTGGTGCTAGTTTTCTGAAACGCAGTTCATCCATCCCAATATCTACTTATTTGGTTGTGGTAAAAGTCTTTTTCAGCACAAGTCAATGTTGTCTTCAAACCTTTCTTGACCATCTTCGTTGTAAATATTCAAAAATGAACAGACCTAGAGCATAGGCATAGATTATCCCAAGCAACCGATACACAACTCCGGAAACTTGTAGAACTCTCTCACTGAATGAGAAGGATTCAAAAACTGAGACATGTTCACTTCCTCTTGAACAACTTCTTACTCGGGCGACGTTCGACTAACAGCCAGTAGCCGAGGGAACGAGGTAGCTACCGGTAGGATGAGAGATTCACATAGCCGTATAGTCATAGCTTTTCAACTCATCTGGCATCAAATTCGCTGTAGTTACCCTAGCGTTTTCAGCCTTGTACGGAGCATTCGGAGATTTCAACCAGTTCTTTTAGGGTGCGGACGGAATGAACCTTGAAGCTTCGAATACCAGGATAGGTTCGAGGGTTAATTACATAAACCCCTTCTCCTACCTAGTGTTGAGCGCATCGAGAAGTACCAGTAAAGCAAGTTTCTAGACCTCGCCAATCTAGGTAATCAGCAACTCTTCGGCGGTAGCATACGGATTCTACTCCACGTTCACGTCGATGATCACGTCCAGTAGGCCACTCAATCGCTTCGAATCAGTCAGCAAATAATAGCCATTCCTAACTTTGGCAAACCATTTCGCACTATCAGATAACACTTCACCTTATACCTGTACCTAATAGGCTTAAGCATAGATGTGCTTCGAAGCCAGACTTGCAGTAAAGGAGAACTTACAGCAAGTATGTCTGGCGGTAATGATGAATGTTAGCCATGCTGGAGTGTAGCCAACAAAATGATATAAGGCAGTAAGGTTTTAAAGTCCACTTTTTGCACTGCCCACAGCCTGCAGATTATAACATTTATCAATTCATGCGGAAGAAACGGGACCACGGGACCAAAAATGTCACAAAACCACCCAATAGGATCTGACCTGAAAATTAATAGTTCTCCCTCAACAAGTCTCCTCTTCTCTATAATCCAAAAATTACACATCGCTTACATATATTTACTCATTTCATCNCATGCTGGAGTGTAGCCAACAAAATGATATAAGGCAGTAAGATTTCAAAGTCCTTTTTGTACACTGCCCAGCCTGCAGCATTTATCAATTCATGCGGGAAAAACGGGACCAAAAATGTAACAAAACCACCAAATAGGATCTAACCGGAAATAAGTTAATATTTCTCCCTCAACAAGTCTCCTCTTCTCTATAATCCAAAAATTACACATCGCTTACATATATTTACTCATTTCATCGATAAGGATTGGATCTCACATTCTTCCAAGCGTGAGATGGTCGTCAAATCTGTAAAGCAGGTGCGTGGTTGATTGAACAGCTTCATCGAAGGCCCATGAGCTAATTAACGCTGCAACCGGCTTCCACAGCTCTGCGTTTACTTAAAGGGCTGTTAATAATTCATCTAAAGGGACGACCGTGAAGGAAACGTTTGGAGTAGGAACAGAATAGCAATCGAAGCCTTTTCATCGCTGATGTCCACCTCTGCGACGATGTAGACAAATGCTGTTTACTCTGCGCAAACCCGAGATGCCTTTTAATGGCATCTCATGACACACTGATTAACTTTGAAGCCTAATTCTAAGGCAACTTTGAGCTCTAGAAATTGGCAATGTTAAATGATGTCATAACATTTGAGAGCAGCGTGACCGTTGGTTGCTCACTTCCACTGACTAGCAATCTAAGAGAAGAGCCATCGTTAGGTAGAGAACTAACGGCAAGGTATCAAAATTACCCTGTCATCTGCGAACTGCAGTAGTAAGTTGACGGCTACCGCAGTGTTAAGGTTCTCTACGGAAACGAAACTTTTAAAATATTGAAAAATGAGCATGCTGCACTGAAAAGAGCATTCGAAGTAGTTGTCCAGGTTATATCCTGCGCGAAGGGAGGTGATAATATGTTGACAGACAGGAAGAATTGCTCCTTTAGAAACCATTCAGTCTCTTATTTATATAAGAGAGCCTGCTGTTTACTCATACATGACCGACCGCCAGATCCTTGTCACCACATGAACGCCAGTAAGAATGCGCCAGAAGAACTTCTGATTCAATGGATTCATTAAAAAAGGAAACGTTGATTCAGGTTAGGCTGTTCGCATACAAACTTGATAGAGAATTGTCTTCCGATTAGGAGCCCATCCAAGATCTGAAAAACCACTCCAATCGATGAAAACAGTGCCAAATGATTTGTGTTTGCGCAGGACCAAACTATGCAGACGCGACCCCTAGACTTACGATTCCTTTGCGCACATTACCTGTGAAAGGAATAAGGGCCAGGGTGAAGGGGCCCAGCCATATTAAATCACAGCAGCACCCGGAAAGTAGCCCGGCTAATACAATCTAGAGCATCCACGAACGAGCAGGAAATCACTGCTACAGCATTCTATTTATCTAGCGATGTGACCTCTAGGCAAGAAGCGGGCTTGAATCCGGAACATTTTGGCAACTATGCCCTTTTTATTTATTATCATACATTTTTGAAAAAGAGATGATCCTAGAAAGCATTAAACTCATCCAACCTCCCTTATTTTATTGGAAGTTTCATGAACATGATCAGGTATGACCCCTTACTGGAAGGAGAGGAGTATTTACTATATTAATCCAAGAAGAAATCAGTTCGGAAGTCTTCGTTCCTAAAAATTTCCATTTGAGATTACCGTATGCTTGCCTATGAAGCCCGTTGTCATGAAAGCGCTCGCACGTCGTTGAGTTCCCACTTGTCCGTGGCTGTGCAATCGCGCAAAGACGCTTGAAGTGGGTCGTCGAGCGGCTTTTCATGGGAGAAGCCGTCCCATGGCCTCCATATTCAGACCCCAATAGACGTCCTCAAGAGCTGCAGCCGACGGGCCGCTCCTCTCAGACCTCATCAGACACCTCCTCATGAACTTCTCAGAGCTCACTCCACGACTTCGGCTACTACCGCCCCGCATCAACTTATCATACCACTCGCTCCCACTCCTCTCATTCTAAGACTCCTCTTCTGTAGCACCCTTAACGTGTGGAGGAGTAGAGTCGGACTCGTGAAGAGATGCTCTTCTGTAGCCCTCCCCCATCGTCGCTTTCGCAAAGTGCTTCACAAGTATCAGAGGTAGAGCTTTGCGGGTTAGTGAGGTGACACACTCGAAGCAGAAACTGTACCTCTACGAGCGACTAAAGGAACCAATGAACTTCCACATGAAACTGGTTTTAGCACCAGAAAACAAATTTTCAGTTTGACCATGAAGATAGAAACCCAAAAACAGCTACTCCCCAAGAGTTTCATTCTTATGTACTTATTTGGGGCTGGAACAGTCAACTACATTACATTTGCCGCAGATAATTACTAAACAGCAGTATCTTAGAAGCAAAAGACGAATGGGTTAGTGGCTGTAGAAAGAACTGCTTACTTCCCCGTGCCTGATCATCAACTTTTTAGGTTTCTGAAAATTCATTCTATAAACTCTTCTTTCATTCTCTCGGCCAGTCCACTCTTGGCCACATTTACCCACGACCAAATGGGTATCCTAAAAACTCGAAAAATTGACCGTCTATACCTTGTCTTCAGCTCGAGTTCAACAGCATCTTCTCAAAATGACCTCATCGCCGCTGAATGAACACTCTTTGGCATTTGGCTACCGTCCCGCTGGTACGTTACCGACCTCCTACTTTGGTGCGGCACCGTTCCAAGGATATCAAGGCGATTTCACAAGGTCTGATTTATAGAGTTTCCTTTTACCAGGAACCAGAGCTATATTCCTCCTTCAGCTATATGGCGAATCCTGGATGGTACGGTGGTGGTGATCCCCGATTCGCAGCATGTGAGCTCTTGATGTCTGTACCGTATTAGTAATTTCGAACATCCTTTGTTTCAGTGCTACCGTGCGGTATCGACCCTTCCAGAGCGGCCGTCCACGGCATCCTATATGGCGAATCCTGGATGGTACGGTGGTGGTGATCCCCGATTCGCAGCATGTGAGCTTTTGATGTCTGTACCGTATTAGTAATTTCGAACATCCTTTGTTTCAGTGCTACCATGCGGTATCGACCCTTCCAGAGCGGCCGTCCACGGCATCCAACTGCCGATGTCCCAACGACGAAAACGACGGGTTCTTTTTAGTCAGGCTCAGGTCGGTTGTTGTCATTGGAGGCAGTTGATATGAATCGTGCGAGTGGTATACGAAACATTAGTATAGAGAAAAGCTCGCATACCTCCGATGAGTGTTGGGCCCTTGCTTCGACATGGTGAGCACTTGATAAAAGACGAAATCAAGTAAGATTACGACATGGTCGATCCCTGATCTGAGGCCTACTGTCAGACAAGGTATTGTACCAAATGATACGGTATGAAGTGACGCGGAAAAAGAACTGCTTGCACGGTTCTTTTCCTGCTCCAGTCTCATACCGTATCATTTATTACCTTAACTTGTTGTTAAATGGAAATGTTGAATGTGATGGGATTTCAACGAGGAAGGAGAATTTCAAGCACCCTATTCCTCTTGTTCTTCTCATTTAGCTCCGACCGTAGTGGGCGATATCTGACTTTGAGAATTGGTTTCTGATAACAATAACCTCCATAACAATGTCCACTGCCTTCAAATCACCGATCCTCTGCTTTCAGGTGTACGAACTCGAACGTCGTTTCAAACAGGCCAAGTATTTGACAGCACCGGAACGAGAACAACTAGCCAACTCCATTCATCTTACACCTACTCAGGTATACTGTTAATACAGCTATCTCTCCCTTCACTTTCTGACTTCATATAACTACATATCTACGGAACTTGTTAGTTACATATAGAGATAAGCCTTGCTAGCTTTTCAATATAGTTGACGCATCAACAATCAAAAGGCCATACATATGTCATTTACCTTTCCATTTCCCATTACTTCATGATCATCAAAGAAGGGGTTCCGGGATACCAAAGCACGAGGTAGAACGGGGACACCTACGACCACGGCGTCTAACTGGAGGGTTACTGTAGCTATGAGGGGTCTTTAGAAACACATCAACAAGCACATTTTATATATACAGGCCTCTAAGTGAAAGAAGGGTCCTGAAGAGACTGTGAGTATGACATACGTAACGAAATAAGAGTACTGTATAAGCATGTATAGAGGAAAAATTACGCGAAGTATTCGGCGTAAATCTGTCCTAACCCTAGAGCAGACCCAGCACTCAGACGTCATTCTCTACTCAGTCCAGCGCCCAGGCTAGGCTACCCTCACATCCCTTATTGTTGTGAAAGGCCGAACACATTTGTTAGAAAAACTTTGAATCATTATTAAGTTTAAGGTGAAATATGACTAGCGGTGCTTGACGGTGATTGACGTGACTTAATTATCAATCTCTGGAGTCCCAGGCTATACTATTCTAGCCCAAAAAATACAGGGGAGGCATCGATGATCGTTCAATTCCAGGTGAAAATATGGTTTCAAAATCATCGCTACAAATGTAAACGACAAGAGAAAGAAAAAGCGATGACAGGCGGTCTCAGTCATCGTGACGACTCGGCCAGTCCGCAATCGGTGGATGGGGATGGGTTTGTGGTGAACATTACTTTCACATACCTTTAAACTCTCGCAAAAAAAAACCAGAAACTCGAAAACCATTATCAGAATATATTCGGGAAACTTTAAACACCGTTCCGTTCCGCAATTCTTGATAACTATGGTTGGTTTATGACCGTATGACATTTTGATGGTTTTGAAGTATTCGAACGCTTAATAATCACGAAAAATAAAAATAGGAATTTTGTCCCCTAAATTTACATGGTGACTGTGCCCGCTGGGATTATGCTTGGGAACCTAACGGCGTCACTAACAGGTACATACATAGGCATGACATTGTGCATGGTGCACTATTTCACACGCATCACCCGAGGATCAAATCCCAGCTTGATAAGCTCCTAGACAGCTTAAGGGTCCATCCCTTCAGAACACCTTGTTTAGTACAAGAGTGGTTGCCTACATGTCTACAATTCTGGATGGGGCTGATCAACCCCAAAGTCTTTAGGCTGCATTGAGCTCCAATGATTTTGAACTTGCTTTCACCGCACTCTCCTCCTCCACATTCCTGAACGAAAGACTTTCCCACTTTCATTGTTCCGGTAACGCCAGTTGAATTAGGCATTACATCCAATATATTATAATTCACTTCATAAGCAACCTTTGATTTTACAACTAAATGGGTGATTCAACTAGAAACTAGAGCATTTCCTTCAGGAAGGCCTCGCCAGAGTTAAGCACGACCAAGGACGATCCGTCCTGCTCAGAGGCGGAGCCTAGCCAATCCACCTCGGAGCCGCTTCCTGAGATTAAAGGCGGCATGTTCGCGGCGGTAAGCGGCAAAGCTGCTGACTTCTCGCAGCATTTATTTCTTTTGTGTTTTTCCTTTTGTTTATTTATTCATTGAACTTCAATTCCGATTTACAAAGATCTCCTAAGCCCGTGCAGATCAGCAATTAAAGGGTAGTGTAACGGGATTGCATATGGTCCAAACGACAAACCCTCTACGGAAATATTGGCCAAGAGCGAAAAAACCTTGAACGCCCGCAACCTGACGGTGCAAGTGCTAAGGCACTCAACCCCTTTGACTTTTTTCTAGTCTCCAAACAAAACTATATCCTTTCTGTACTGCCCGCCAAGAATTACTCGAAAAGCTCCTACTTCTAATCCTGCGTCAATTCATATAGGTATTAAAGCTTGGGAGTAAGGGTTGAACTATTCTCTCTGAAAACCGTGAAAACGTCTCCTTCCTCCTGCAATGTCAGAATACACTTTTCATAGCAATTTAAGCGCCGAAACTTTAGGAAATCCCATGCTTCATGGAAGCTATATGTAATTCAATAATGAGACCATTGAAATGCCCTATTGAACTGGACCTGAGAGAACTTGTACTCCATGGAACTAGTGGGACACCTTTTTCCCCATTCCCACGAAAATTCACAATTTTCTCAGTTCTTTCTCACAGTTAACACATATTTCTATCAAACTGCTGATGTTAGACCAAAAAAAAAAACATTTTATCAAACATTCAGCTTTCCTTGATTCAAGACTGATTTTTTCCAATGGTATGTTTCAGGTTTCCTCGTCAGTCTATCCTCCACAACCTGCCGCATTCACATTTCCATTCGCTTCGCAGTCATACTCCGCCGCTCAATCAGCATACTATAACCAAATCCGTGGCGTAGGCTGGTAGCCTTCTACAGAAATACTTCTCAAATGGAAATTCTCTCCAGCAGACTCATATTCATACTAAATTCATAAGCTACAATTAATAGCATCAATTTGTCGAAGTACATGCCCTTTGTAGAGAAAAGGAACTACGTTCCTCTATTACAAACATATAATCGGCTGGCTCCCAAGGACAGAACAGGACATTCCCACAAGCATGGTGCTGTTGCGGTCGGTTCAGGTGGTCCCACCCAACGTGTACAAACCCAGGCAGAACAGCGGCACCCTTCCTGGAGCGTCCTGCTCAACATTGAAAATCGGTGCATTCCAGCCGAATATTTGTTGATCACTCCCGTTGGAATCGTGTCATCTCCCAGTCACTATTCCAAATCCAGCTGCTTCTTGTGATATCGTATTCTAAAGCCTACAAGTAATTATAACAGCCTACCAGATCGTATTATGTGGAACGCTTGAAGCTCATTCCCGTATCTCCTAGTTCCCCTGACCTTTACTATTTGAGCATAGCCATAGCCATTTTCTGAAAGAAACTGTCTAGGACGTCCAAACTGAGCTCCGTACAGATGCCACAGTGACCTGATGGGCAAATTGACCACAGTATGCTTAGGAATCACCATTTTGGTTATTTTGAAGGCTTCACATAGATGATTCACAAAAATGTTTGTACATGCACTTTTCAATGCCACCTGTTTTACCTATAGAGGATTTGGTCTACAACCTGCAGCTCTTTCATCACAGCCCAGTTTTCGGAAATCTGGGAAGGTTTCCTGTCGAAGACCATCCCATCTCTTTTGGAATGCTCTAGACCCTACCCTTTCCCTAATCCGGCTCAGCTAGTACAAAAACTATTTTTCATTATGTCCCTACGACATAAATTGCTTTTCAACACCAAAAAAGAACATTCTGCAACTTATATCTACTAAAAAATGGGAAATAATAGGAGTAGAAGTAGCCACCGGTGCAACCGAATTCACAAATTGTTACTTCCTATGGGTGGCACCAAAACGCAGTCGCAGAGCGGCCCCTATAAGGACCACCTTTACAGTAATAGATCTCACACTTACGTCCTTCTATGTTTGCATACCATTTAACAGAGCTTGTTACAATTCATATAGGTCTCCAACTAAAGAAAATGACTCGCTAAATTCCTGCCTGCCTTACACTTTTTTAATCTGTTTCGAGAATTCGTATTAGAACATTAGAAATATGACATTGGAATTTGGATCTATAAGATTAACCTAATTAGTGAATAGTCCAGTAATGATCTCTTCAGACTGAATCTCTTCTTTTTTTCTTGAAAATCCCTAATTCATTGAACAATTTTTGCTAATATTGATTGTCGGGTAGCTTACGTTCTGTTTGATTCTTTGAGTTTATTTTATTGCCAAATTCATAATCTGAACCGCTGACAGTAAAACGCTTTCGATGTGATCTCATATATACTAATCCTGTGTGTGAAGAATCGTATTGAATATTTCATTGACCATAAATCTTTTTCAAAATCAGATATCAGGCTATATTCTGGTCCTTATGTCGCCTGGAGATATGAACACGCAAGTTGTACGGGTGTGAAAAGGCGTGATGACAAATTTGGCACTTGTGTGGTTTTTCACCTGAAGAGGAATAATTTCAGCATATGAACTAAGACTACAGTCGTCCTTCACTGAAGTGGAAACAGGTCACCCCGATTGCTGTCCTCGCCGCCCACTGGCTCGGACCTGAATGCCTGGTACGAATAGGAGCAGCAGAACTAGGTGCATTAGAAGACATATAGATGTAGTGCATGATATTGACTTCTCATCGCCTCCCACACCAGATGTCGCAAGTTACCATTATTACCAGTTACTCTTTGGCCTACTCAGAGTTAAGGTCCTCCTTTCAGTGTGCTTACATTAGGTCTCTTGGACTGTTCCCAACGGAAATCATGAACACAAGTCTTGCTTGTCAGCAGCAATACTGTCAAGTATGTCAACTGCTTACAGGAAAAACAATTATTTATCACATATTTGGCTAATCCTTTCTGAGACAGGCTATCCCAAAGCAAAGTGATGCGCCCTGCTATTTGTCTCTTGAACTTGACAGGACTCTGCAACAAATTGAGTGGCACACGAAGGTGATGTTCCCAGTCACCTAACGCTGCTACTACACAGTAATGAACACTTGCAATAAGAATCTAAAATGAAACAATACCTGTATGGGTTTTGATATGTGACTTCAAATTGGCTTCTAACGAGAATGCCTTTGAACATCCTTCAAATCGACACTGAAATTACTAATATTTCATGGTTCACAGCTTAAGCCTATTTCATGGTTTACAGCTTAATCCATATCGAAAATTGAAAATTTCACCAGTACTTCTAGATGTGAAATGTTTTTCGTAAAAAAAATTCTCATCACATATGTTCAGAAATGTGTTGGACTCTTCAATCACCGACAGCGGTTCGACGACAGAAACGGAAATTCAGTACGGGAACTCGGCCCACCCTAATCCGGCAGGGCGTAACCCCATTTTAATACATACACGTCACATATACGACGGGCGAAAAGGGCCTTGGGCAAGGATACAGGGTGGTTGGTGAGGGAGCGAGGAGGTAACCAAGATGGGTGCTGAAAGCTTGGGTGGTGATCCTTTCGAAGTAAGAACAGAGCGATGGTTAAATATACTTATTAGATGAGAAAGAGGATGATGTGGAGCTTGGGCGGATTGGTCCGCTGAGCAAAAATACAAGTAATGACACAATACCCGCACGAGCCCAACCCCCGTACTCCGCCTTCTCGATAAGCCACTCGAGAGAGAGGAGGGACCATTTGGTCATTGGTCGTTGTCGACGACAGGAGGTTTTTATAAGAGCCGAGTGCCCGTACTGAGCTTTCGTTTTTGTAGCGATATTTAGCGACAGTGAAAGGCAAATCTGGACAGTTTTGGCTTGATGTAGTTAGCTCTTTACGCAATTGCAAGGACTGAAATCTTGTCCGAATACCTTTTCCGTGCCATTTCCGTCACGGTAGTCTCGTACAACCTCTATTTTCATCATTTTGAAGAGCACTGCTTTTCACGAAATCAGCGAATTTCCTCGAATCCTTCACCTCCGATGCACTATTCCCAACCAATACTTCCACTATTCAATTGAAAAAGGACAATCATTAACGAGGACTGTACTTTCAAGCTCTCTAGCCATATCCTTGAATGACCATGAAAGGCTCTAAACCAAATCACTTTTAAGCTTGTGTCTTCCTAAATTCAACAGGCTATCAAAAACAAAAACGCAGCAGAAAAAATGTATTATTGGGCAGTATACAAGGAATCTGTAGCAACTGATTTATCCCGCATACTATCCTTCTCTTTGCAATAGATAAAAACCTCAGCTTGACCAAGCTATCATTCAGTATCTTCTTCCCTCGAGAGAGTCGCTGCTGAGGCTAATCGCAACAGTTACGTAGGCTATGTGCCGCCGCATCACATTACGCTAGACAAAAGTAAGTTTCGTGGCCCAATAACTTCAAAAACACTATTGGGAACTTGAAACGCCAAACCTTAGAAGGAATATTTCAGAAAAAGCCATTCAAAACATTTGCAGTTTCTGTTATCCCCCGTCTTTTCGTGTGCTAGCATAATAGCCATTTTCTTGAAAGATTTATGGTTTTGTTTTGACAGAATCCCCAGTGATGTAAATAAGAATAAATTGAAGCAGCGGCTGTACCTGGAAAGCTCGTTCGCCCGTATGCGTCAACATATGTCGCTTGAGCTTTGTTCGTTCTGCAAACGTCCTTCCGCATCGGTCACATGACAAATTACGAGCTGCATGGACTTTTGCGTGCTTCCGTAGAGCCGTGCGAGTTTTCAAAATGGATGTGCATCCCTGAAAAAACAACACAATCCAAGACGTCTCCTGAAAAGATTGGCCTAGTGGGTAACATTGCCCCTTTCTCTGATACGCTAATACGACCCACCTCTACAAGACATGGAAATCCGCCTGATCCCGAGTCGCTGACGGGTTGGGTTTTCCTGTGTCTAATAAAGAATAAAATTACAGAATTAATCAAGGAATAGAATGACAGAGAAAGTCCTGACCTTGTATTCTTCGGATAAACTTTTACAGGAACCTTGAACTGCCGTATTTCGATTCCAAATTTGCCCTCGTTGCCCATGGTCTAAAATGATCAAGTATAAACCTCACAATATTGGCGTTCTGTAGAATACTTTAGTAATACGGTAATAATACGATTAGGACTCGAACCCACACTTATGCTTTACGGGCACCTTGCTCTTCATCCCTTACTCATATCTCAAGAGTTTTCAGGGGATAGAGACGGGAAGTGGGGTTTTGGCATTGTCAAGGATAAAGAGCACGGGGACCGGACTGCACACAGCAATGAACAGGAACAGATATAAGAGACTTTGTGTCGGAATGTAGATTGTCGGAACCTTGCAAAGACATCTTAGATAAACGACTATCAAGCTGGATTTAGAAATCCAAGCATATGCACAGTTCAAAGCGTCAGCAATTCATATTTAAATACAAATCGCAAAGATTGTTCACCTTATCGGTATCGTCTGTATTTTCCGGACTACGACTCCTCAAAGACCCAGTATCAATATCAGGTTCGATCTCTATCGAACTGGAAACAACTTGTTGTGTATTCAAGAAGAAACTAATCCAAATCCTATTTTAAAAGTTACACTTAAAACAAATACCTCAACTGAAAGCCGTCCGTGGCACTGGCTGATGATGTCGAAGGTAAGGACGTATTTTGTGTCGAGTACCATTGTGGAGCGTTGATCGATGAGAGTGACGGATCCGAATCCTGCTTGGAAATGAATCAGCCAATTCACAAACGGAATGTACACAAAGCAAGGCGTTAAACTCCACGTAGAAGCGTTTACAGTTGATAATAGCTGACTCGCTTAATTAGTCGTATGATATTGAGCACATTGTATTCTATGTCACAAAATTACTTCACCACTACAGTCACGGTAGTAAGTCGGAACATTTTCAGGAGGATTTTTGTTGATTGTACAAAAATAACCAACCATACTTATGTCAGTTCTGGAATCGCTCTCTATCGGGCATGAGATCTCCGCCGAACTTGAGCAACTCATCAGATCACCTAAATGATGTAAATTGTTATCCCACGTAATCATTATATAAAAAGTAGCAACAAAAAGTCACCGACTGGAGCTGTGAGCCCATGCCATGGATTCGATCTGGCGCTTATCCGTCACAATAATGACTTTTTTCGGGAACCATTGACTGGTAGATGGCGACTCTGCATCGACTTTTTTTACTACAGAAACTTTGAGATCCTGCAAAGACGAAAAGTGATCTCCTGATGGCCACAGTGAATCGGGAAAAGATCGAATGGTCCCAAATAAAGTTAATGATGTGGGTGTACAGGAAAGCCGTGGAAGCATTTGCTACAGATGATACTTCCCCTATTTGATCAACACCCTTGTTACTTGAGTACGACATAGAAGCCAATCATTGATCCAGGTATATAATATTGCGGACGAAGCTACTGATTTGTAAGGCAGCCAGCGCCAAGTTTAGGGGCACTGGGATTATGGATAACCGCCGATAAGGAGCTTTCGAAAACAATAAAGCTTCCCCTTCGACGACCTCTATTATTGGTGTCAGGTCCTTCAACTTGTATACGTTGAAGATGTAGAGCCCTGGTTCAGACTCGGCGAAGTCAAAAGTCGTGCTATGGCATCGTTCCAATTCTCTAACGGTGATGGCGTCCCTTAGAAACTGTGTGCAGAAAAACGAAAACGACTGAATGGCCAAGGATATGCATTGCCTCTATGAGAGCTGGATCTGCAGCTCAAAAAATTGAGAGAAATTGATGTAGTTTGTTTTGGACTTTCACTGGGTTGATGTGAAAATTTCATAAGCTAACGTTTTGGCCTTTCCCAGAGTCTGAAATGGCCCAAAACAACTTGTGAATATTGGATCAAAGATTTCCACATCCTTATGAAAAAAANAAAAAAATCCTGAAATGAAAAAGTACGACGTGAACAAACCATTCGTCCATAAAGAGCTCCAGTACTGTCGGAATGATTAGCGTCTTCACCTAGGAAAGCATAATTCTTTGTGAGCACGTTGGGAACTTGAACATCCTTGTGTGCAGAATTATAGACGACCTCTTCACCAGCAACAATCTAAAAAAACATCTTTATCCTTTGACTCCATGTGCGATCTTGAGCTAAGAAAAAGAACGAACTAATATGGTCATCACCCGCTGATGCTTACTCTTATCTCCTGCTGCTTCGTGAAGTGAGCCAGTCTAGATATTTATTGGGCATATAAAGAAGTGCGAGAGGGATTTTCGAAACAAGCAACTAGCAGCGTTTACACTACGCGCACCCTTTTAAAGGGTAGATTAGGCGCCACGGGCAACATGGCAGAGACCAATGGGCATATGGTCGAAATAGCTGTTTTGTATCGCTATTTTCTGTGTATTAGTTGATCACAGCTTTTAAAACAACTGCCTAATGGATTCTAATTAGCAAAACTTCTTTCGTTTGGAATGTCTCATTTTTTCCTTATTTCAAAGACCTAACATTGCAGGTAAGTTCTCATTTAAACAAATTCGTTCACTCTGACCCGCGCTCATAAACACCCATGAGGCTCAGGGTGGAAGTTAACACCTTTTCGGGGGCTGGAGAAGTTTGTTTTGCTTTGCAGCCTTTCGGTATAGTAGCAAACTACAGCTTCCACATCAATTGCTTTATAGTTTCTGCCGAGTGCTTTGAATGCTTTCTTGTTTTCTCTGGTTCCATACGTCGAACACCTTTTATACTTCGAGATGACGGGCGACAGCGGAGTCGGCGCCCTCCGCCTATGGGTTGCATTCATAGTACCGACGCCGAGGCCGGTGTCAGTCATGATCACCCAACATTGAAACCTTGAAAGCGCATGACGCCGAGATTAGTGAGAAATCTAATTTCGACCCGACGACGTCTTGAAGTCTTTCGGTCTACGTTAGCACAAGGTACAACCTTTTCGATCAAATAAATAGCGATAGCCACCAGGTCGTCCTTAAACTTCTCGGCACCCTGAGGGTGCGGTGGGTCTCCGACGCAGTGAGTGCGAGTGGGTGCTTTCAAAGATCACAAGGTGAGTGACTTCAACCGACGACTGACCGACCGACCGCGTTGCTGGCCAAGTGTTGACAGCGCTGTACAGCGACCGACACAGGTCATGCGGCCCTGAACGCAACCTGTTCTGCGTTGTCAACACGTGTCCACTAACGCCTTCGGTCGGTCGCTAATTTGAAACAACGCAAATGTTGAACTTTTGAAAGCACCCAAGGCCCAGCATTTGCTGACCCACATATTACCACAAGTCTAAGAATAAATAACTAAGGAGCCCCGGCTCACCTCGACGGTTGCACTCATAGCAGCGACGTCGACCCTGAAGCTGATGCCTTCCCACGCAACACTATCATCAGCTGTTTACCATAACAGTAAACTCGTCCAAGAACCGATAATATTAGGGGCGACTAGCAAAGAAAAATTTTAAGTGACTTGTCACGCGGCAACGTCAAGCCGGAGCATTTGTCTAGTTGCCTGCGCTCTGCCGTTGAGACAGTACTCGTTAAACGGTTTCTTGGTAGCGGACGAGTACCAGGAAAAACTGGATGTAGCCTTGCTTCGCCGATGCTCCTTTTTTAGCAGAACATATTCCCGAAATTCTCTTCTTCCTTCACCTTCCTCTTCTTGCCAACACCTACCCACGGTCAGGCTTGTCTCCTCACATAGGAATCTTCCTTTGTACCAGATCACACTTTAGGAGGTTAGTTTCTACGGACATATCTTGCCTGTGGCTGTAATAGTAGAGTACTCTCAATAAAATGAAAGCTCCAATTATTGATTTGTGCTACTTCATATCGAACTGAACCTCTGAACTGCTCAGTCGTTCAGATTGTCCTTAACTGTAGTGGTCGTATTTGTTTGTATGTTTGATCGTTGCATAGATCCAAGCTCGAACCAACGACCATACAACAATAGCCAGAGCTGTATATCTACAGTCTCACAGGGCTCAGCCTATCGGATGTGGTAACTTCTCCCCGAAAATCGCGTGGCGTTCGCCTTACCCAACCGCCCGATTTGAAGGGGAAGATTTCTAAACTTCTTTATCACGAAGGTAACAGCTTTGCACGAAAAAAGGTTTTTCCTTTTTCTCTTTTTTTCTTCTCAAACTTCTAAGAGACGTCTTCTAGATATATATACTAGACCAGACCCTATCCTCATGAAGAAACAAAAATTTGGATGGGCACTGGATTCTTACAGGGATCTCACGGTGAAATAAAATGCAGAGTACGCAAATTTCACAGTCGACATGCTTCCTTTCACGGCATGATTCTAATTGATTACACAAAGCCTTGCTCGTCACCTATTCGAAGCATAAAAGAGGGACTTATGGGGGTTCCATTTTATCACGAGCACTCGTTCGCTCAAGGACTCATAGGAGGGGTACTGTTAGAGCCGAGTGCCCAGTCTGGTTTTCCTTTCTGTCTATACCCATAGGAACTTTTACTTTACTTGATGACTACCCGTTCATCGTTGAATTCGGCACAAAATCATGCAACCCAATAGGTACAACAAATTCGTTGTAACAGCGTTACCTCCGAGTTCTTGTGAGAAATTCGAAACCCCGGGAAATCAAAGGGCTCACGTCCTGTTGTTAGATTCATCAACAAACACTTTTTGGGAGGAACAGAACCCTTCAGACACCGGTCGATTTTTTTTTTCTTCATCTGTGGACTAGTCACCGAACAGACACGAGAATGTACTATGTTAAGGGGGTTATTAATGTATTTGTTCAAATCGTGATGGGAATCATGACCTGTGGGTAGACTTATGTGAGACCAAAGAAAGAGCTTCCAAGTGCATGGGGTTGACCGGTCCCAGTACCTAGATCTTGTGCAGAAGGGATTTCTGGGCGCTATTTGAAAAAAAAGCTCGAGATGTATTTCTATCTATCGACTGGAGGGGCTGGGGCTTTTTAGGTTTCAATTCCAGCCCATTTCCGATTCCCACGATTCGTTTGTTTGCACAAAACGGCTGCAGCTCACATTCAAAGGGACTTTGCAGGTTATAATAAGGGCACGACGCCGTCACGTTGTTCCTTGATAGGCGCTGGCTTCATCAAAAAAGTGAAAGTTGTGGGAAAGCTCATACCTAGTGGTAAGTTTTAAGTGAAAAAGGACCTAGAGTTGGTGACTTTCTGAAAAACCATTTCAAAACGTTTGCAAGGAAATTCATTACTTTTGTGTCTCCTTGGTGGGTGATCTCATATTTCAGAATTTCTAAAGCAAAAGTCGTAGAACGATGAAAAACTGAAACATTCAAGTATAAACTCACGATGTCATTAGGTTCGATTTCGTACGGCGGTAGAATGGAAGTAATGTCACCCTGTGTATATAGATCAGAAGAATACATAAAGAATTTTGAATGTATGCAGTCAACGCCACACGGGAAGCAGTCATCCAAACAGACCACCCACAGCGCATAGCGGTGGGCGACGTCGCGCGCGGCACCGCGGGCGAGAACATGTCATTCGTTGTTCACCGGCGATCGAAGCCCGTGACTTAGCTTGGTCCCGTTTGTGGGCTGTCAGCAGCTTTCCTTTCAACTTTTCTTTCCTTTTGAGGCAGTGAGATCTTGCTTTCAATTCGATGGCTTACTTTAGTATGGCTTAGAAAAGCTGATGGGTCGCATTATTAAAGGAGCAGCTAATGGGGTATTTTTTCATGATTTTTTTTTTGTTCTGTGGAATGAAGCAATGATGCTCCAGGCTTTCTATTTAGATGCTCCAGAATTGCTGCTTACAGCGGTGATTTCAAAATAGCATTGACTCTATTCAGCATCATTTATACTATTTTATAATCACTTGCTCTAAAATGGAGGAACTTTACTAGTTTCCTTCCAAGAGCCTGGCAAGCCCCATGAGCAATCATCATCGATTGCCCCGTGCATGGCCTTTCGTTTAAAGTTTCCTTCACCATTAATCCCACATCAATTTGCTACTCCTTGAAGTTTCATTGTAATGCTATTGGTTTGTTGGAAGTGTATGTTCCCCAAACCGCTCTAATAAGGTATGCGGAAGGTTTGAAGTTGTTTTTAATGAGGAATTTCTGAATAGGATTCTCGTTGGCAAGGTTGTTCAGGGTTTTCAAGGGCTACAACCCTGGCTTGGAATTGGGCGACTGCTGGCCCTGTAATGGTGGGTAGAATAGATTGCAGTAGATTACAGGGTTATAGGTTGTGTTCGGGTTATCACTCATATAGACTGTTACGATTACCGGTTTTCGATGATCCTCTTACCCCTTCTTCTTTCGTTCTCACGTACGAGACCCACTTTTTCATGTACTTGGATGCTCCTGGCTCGGTATATCCTAGAACGCGTCAAGGAAGCTGGACTATGAACTCTAGCGAACCAGGTCTTTTTAATCCTGCTTTACGTCACACTATTGTAAATTACCAAGATAACTTCCTTATGGAATCTTTATGCTGGGCAGTTCGAGGAGGGTGAAGAAATGCATATTTCGATTTTTTTTTTTTGGCCCAATTGACTTGAACTGAGCAGTGCGAAGCAACTAGTTTGCAAACTTTGGAGAGTGGACTAGCCACAAAACAGGGATGCGGTATCTGATCCATTCCCAAGCCTAGTATTCCTCAGGAATTAGGAAGGACCTTTATGTATGGTTGCCGTTATGAAGAGATGACGATGCGCTCAGTCTTTTCCTCTTTCCACGGTATTGCTTTGTAATGGGGCCACAAGCCGCTTTCAGAGTATTAAAGGCACTGTTCACGAAAAAATGGTTTCTGTGATTTGCGCATGGTTAGAATTCGACGCCCCCTCTGATACCATTTGTGCAGGAATGAGGTCGGAAAACGGTCTGGATAGGGCACAATAAGGGCAGGAACAGTGGGGGACGGGAGGCCTCCGCCCCTCGCTAAACTGACTACGAGTCTAATTGCCGTTCATCACTTTCGCATTAGAGCGAGTTGTCTGCTTGGGTGTGTTGTCTGCTAACAGACATTGCGTCGCCTTCGTGCACTCGCCCGAACACTCCCTTAACCGCCGTTCTTCCAATGTGAAACTCGTCCAACCCCCTTTCCAGCTCTTTTTTGACCCTTTCTATTTCTTTTTGTTCATCTTTTTTTGCGCTTTTTTCGTTGTTATCGCTTTATTCTAGAGTAGTTCTACGAATTCCCGTCGAAAAAGGGTACCCTGAATTTATCGTAAACGGTGCCTTTAACTCAAGCAGGTAAGAAATTCAATCTTACTTTTTCCCCATAGGCTAGCTCGTTCAGTGTGTCTTCACGATCTGCTTCAACGTGCACGTATCTAATCTTTGGTAAAGGGGCAGGTTTTGATTTAATCGATTTTCCTCAACTTTTTTTTCACCGAGCTGTCACTTTAGACGTTTGGAGAAATTGAGTTGTCACTTTGTTGGTTGAGAGCAGTTGCGAAATTCTTCATCTCAAGCACAAACGGCACCGATAGTGTATCTACCGTCTCTTCTAGCCGGCCTTACCTTTTGAAAAGCCATACATTTCAACTGGATTGGACTCTTTACACAGTATTTCTTTGGGGAATGTTCAGGATGGTTTAATCATTTTCGGGGGCCTCCCTTGTAATTTCATACGCACTTCAATGATTTCACCGTTGCAACATCAAGTAAATAAAGAATCGGAAAATAGCATAAAGAATGTTCTTTTTTTCAATTTCTTATCGGCTCAAGCCGCAGCGCCCAAGTCATCTGATCGAACTCCGCCTGAACCTGTTTCGAGGGAAAAACGATGAGCAACAACTATGACATTGGCTCCGCTCTTATCTATAGGCATCATGATGAGTTTTGCCCCCTCTCGGGGCCTTACTGCGTCTGACCCTAGATGTTCTAGAATAATCTGTGTTTCTTCGATGTTGTTCGTTCTAAATCGTGATTTCAACGAAGTCAAGTGTTTCTTTTGCAGCAATAGGTGATGGATAGCTTGTCAAGTGAATGCGTAACACCATGTAAGTCACCACCTACTTCACAAAGCTCTGTTGAGAGCATTGCAGATGAAGTTGGTACTTTTCATGAATGCTCAGAAGAGAAACAGGTCAGTTATCTTCGATAATTTTTATTTCAATTTTGCCTTTATCAGTCCATCACGTCGTATAAAAAAATGTTTCGCCAGTACAGATTAAAGTGAGAGCTTTACCATTTCAACAAATGAACGGGTTCGTTTCTGCTAAGTCCACGGCGAATCGCAATAGCTTGTGATCGATAGAACGGTATTAGGTAGGGCAGGCATCCCACATAAGTTTATGGACCTGGGAACTGTGCTGCCATCGCATAAAAAATCTTCTTTTTACTTGAGTCTGAGGTAGTATTTATACCATTTCGGTGTCCGTTTCCATGCTAGTTCTGCTCATATAAGCTCCCTGCAGTACGGAGAAACCAATAATAGAGTATTGAAGATTGAAATGGTTCTGTTCGTTTCATCTGTTCGAGGCCAGCGTTACGTAGCCCTAAGGGAGGTTAAGTAATGGATATAGAGATAGATAGAATGATGGATAAAGGAACAGTATAGTGTTAAACGATGATTATCTTGGTAGTGCATCTCGTTAATAAAATCTTCAGAATTGTTTCTCCCTTTTAAGGTTTCCAATAGATCCGTAGCTGCTTTTAGAATATGTTCTCTGCTCATTTTGCTGTACTCTCATTAAATGCATTGCATGGATCATACATTTCTTGTGACTATATAGGTGCATTGAAACTTGGAGAATATTAAGGAGTCATAACCCAAGGATTTCAGAATAGTTGAATTTTGGCTTAGTACTGTGAAACCCGCTCTCAGATTGATGATCCTTCTTACAGAATTCGTCCAAGCGCAAGTCTCCCATGGACCTAGCCTCACAAGGAAAGCGCTATGCTCGAAGCCCTAGGTTGGTATATTCTTATTAGTTCCTGTTTTGCTAAATTAATTCCAATAACTCTTTTTTGCAACTATAGGTCTGTCCCATTCATTTTCTTAGAGTACCTTCCCGTAAGCAGGCTCCTATCGTCATATATCATAACGACTTGAGGGAGTGCAAAGGGAACTACAGTTTCTAACATTGTTTTTTGCTCTTCCATGCTATTCTGTGAAGGTTTGCGCAATTTTCTCCTAACTGGTTTCTAATACGGCAAGCGACTTTTTCAGTCTTCGCGTCTTGGTTACTTTTTGTGAGATGATCACATCGCGACGTTTTAAAGGAGCAAATGACAGTTTCCTAGTTTATTGCCACGTATTCTTCTGTTTTCATCATAGATTGCGTTATTCATATGTAAAGTTGCACGTCTCTTAACCTCTGCTCATTTGAAGCATGCACATAGTGTAGATAGTACTCGTTAATGTACCATATCGAGAGAGTCTTTTTGCTCAGAGTCGATTTGCAGAATTGTATGCTTTTCCAATTTCCTTTCAGTTTTTCAATGGACTCCGACGATGAATCGACAACGCAGGCTGCCATAGAGGATGCTCATTTGATTCGCCCATGGGTAGACCAGTTCCAGGTTGTGGCAGCTTATAAGACTTTTTAACTATTTTTTCTTTTGGCAGATGGAACACCAAGGTCTAGTTGTGGTCATGTGGTGCTTTAAATGTTAGGATTGTTTCTACTAGGAGGAAGCATTCCTCATTCGATCCAATTTCATTTGATGCCCACTTTTGTGTGATTTACCACTGCGCGAGCTTACTTGTAGATTTTTATTCTGGTGTAAATCGTATTACATCAACGATTGCGGCTCTTTCTAAAGCAATTTATTAGTCAGCTTCAGCCTCCTTGCCGCTAATATCGGCATAGGTTAGACAACGGCTTTGGTAGTTTGCGTTTTTATGAATTTTGTTGAGAGGCTGTGTTTATAGTTTTCATTTCGATGCGTGGAGGATAAGAGTTATATGTTTGTCAAGCGTTGTATGACTCTATATCTTTGCGGCAGTTGAGCCATTAATGCTAAAGTGATACATAAACCATAACATTTCTTGTAGGCTATGTCTCGCCGATGTCAACGTAATGCTCTGCTTCAACTTATCAGCACTTGTGGACTGCAACATGTGCGTCATGTTCGGCAACTGATTGAGCCGCATTTCCAGAAAGATTTCCTTTCACATCTCCCAATTGAGGTTAGCACAGCCTTTGATTCTCTCGTTCATTTCCTCTGGTGGTGAGGAGATCGGTCGACCAACTCTTGCAAGACTTTTTTTTGAATTTCGAATTGGTTTTCTGGGATATTTTCGTTCAATTGTTTGTTGGCTGTTTAGTTGGCGATTCAAATAGTGGCAAATCTTCCAATGGCTGACATAGTCCGTGCTGCTCGAGTTTCACGTTTCTGGCGTGACATTTGTGAAGATGATCGAATGTGGCGTTTGAAATGCGAGCGAGAAGGATTTTCTTGGTTAGTCGTTGAACTGTTGGTATCAAGTTGGCTACGAAATTGCGGAAACATTCCAGCGAACGTGTAGCAGGTGCCTGGGAGCAAACAGCGATGGGTAACGGTGTTACTATAGTTGATCATTACAAAGGAGCAGAACTTGAACAACATCGAAAAATTAGGGAACAGAGTTACGGAAGGTGAGCTGCTCGTATTTCATTTCTTCTTGTTTATCTTTTTACATCAAATTTGAGAAAATGAAGTTTGTTTTACTCATTGCAGGCTTCATTTACACTTCGTTTCATGCTCATCATACTATTTAGCGTGTATTCGCGATCGGTGTGGAAAGCCACATACCTGCGACGATGTAGAATAGCAGCCAATTGGCGACGTTTACCGATCGGAGGAAGTATGGTCTTAAGAGGGCATGAAGAGCATGTGATCACTTGTCTTCAAGTCAGCAAACTTCATTTGTTTGTTTTAAATGATGATCGTTCTGGAAATGGAAATGGAAATGACTTGACTGCGCACTTTTTCTTCTACCAATTATATTTTCAAGATCCAAGGCGATATGCTCGTTACTGGCTCGGATGACAATACATTGAGGGTTTGGAGTATCGAACAGGGGAAGGTGGGTACCTATTTTTAACTCTCATTGATTAATTTAAGCTAGCATCATGCAGGCAATCCTTTTTCAGCTTTTTTCATTATGTAATAATTGGTTCAAATTATTACATTGGCGAACGGTCGATTCCTATTTCTCCTTTCCAGTTGCTTTTCACCCTCGTTGGTCATACAGGAGGAGTTTGGACGTCTCAGCTTTCAACAGATGGCAAGTACATCATTAGTGGCTCAACAGACCGCACTGTAAAGGTGAGAAAGTGGAACTCTCCAATGTGGTAAACCAATCCTGTCTTTGAAGGTGTGGTCAGCGAAGGACGGTTCGTTAATTCACACGCTTCATGGACATACAAGCACTGTTCGTTGTATGAGCCTTTGCCGTAACATGTGAGTATTACTTGACAATAGAGTTTTTGCAAGGTAAACTGCGCTTCAGTTGGTCCATATCTCTTCATATTATGTTTAAAAATTTTTAAGATACAGTTATGTTAATCTAAAATTCAGTTTGGTGTCGGGCTCGCGTGATACAACCTTGAGAGCGTGGAATGTTGACACTGGCGTGTGTGAGCAGTACCTCACTGGTCATGTTGCGGCCGTACGTTGCGTACAGTTTGATCTTGACGATGGCCGTATTGTATCAGGAGCATACGATTTCACTATAAAGGTACTTTTTCGTAGTTTTGGTCTCCCATTGAGATGAAATACCGTCCTAATTAGCTGGTGAAGGGACGAAATTTTATGTTCATGCCTTTTCCAAAAAAAANAAAAAAAACTTGCAACGTGAATACTAATTAGTTTAGGATTTTCGATCTGAATTTTACCCCGCGAGAACGTGACCTAGGAATCGAATTATAACTCCATGTAGAGTGTACTGCCTACTATGTAACGTTCTACTCAAGAGTGTGCCTCCTTCGATTACCTCGCTTACCCATTCCTCACCTCTGCTCATTTATCCGGTGCCTGGGCAGTTCTGAAATCAGACTAGGATGCCATGCCCAGCCTCCATGCGCGGAACTCTGCTGAGTTCACTCGAGTTCTTTTCTTATTACCCTGATCCGACCTCTCGAGGCTCTCGTCAGACAGGCGATTTTGATTTGGATAGTGACAAGGGACGATGATTTCATGTATACATAGTAAATAATGGTTATGATCAACGTTCCCGACAGAGTCATAAATTTTGTCGATTGCCTTAGCGCACCCTCCACTCACCATCAAAATTTGGCCATCTTTCCTTCAATCGCCCAACCTACTTTTCGAGATTTCAGAATTTCTGAACAGACTGATTAGACGTTGGCCATTTCTTCTTTTTTTCTGACCTCCAGGCTTTAATGAAATCGATTTAAGGTTTTAAATAAAAAATACACTGTGTGAGAACGCTCCGCCTATTGTGGGACAGGTCTTCTCACATGTGCTCTGTTGATCTTACCATATGCCTAACTCTACCCGAGCATGAGCCGACTATCTTATCCGTGTCTAGACGCAGGCTGGTTATATATAGTGAAGATGTGTGGCCCTAAGTGGATTTTTGTATGGATTTTCTCCTTACATTCATAACTTCTTCGAGAAAATTAGACTCAGTTTGCAATCAAAATTTGTTATAGGTTTGGGATTTCGAGACTGGTGCTTGCTTATATACGTTGACTGGACACACAAATCGCGTGTATTCTTTATTGGTTAGTTCTTCTGTTCTTGTCCATTTCGGCTTCTTTTGAGATCTGCACTTTCCTTTTGTCTCTTGAATTCGGCATTGCTTTCTGTAATTGGAAGGCATGCAGCAATTTTGATGACCAATTCCTAGAATTCATTTCTTTTATTTCGACGGCTATCAGAGCTAGTTTATTTCAGCTCGATGCCCAGCGCAATATTGTCGTCAGTGGAAGTTTAGATACCACGATCCGTGTATGGGATATTTCTAAAGGTGTATGCATGAGTGTCCTGTCTGGCCACCATTCCTTGACGTCAGGAATGCAGTTGAGGGGTGATATCCTAGTATCATGCAATGCTGACAGTGACGTACGGGTAAGCGATTTTGTATTGCTGAACACTTGAAAAAGGCCCTTATATTGTGGAAGATTGTAGTTTTGTAGACCTTCATTCGTTCATTCATTTCATTCGTATTCCTGCTTTTTTGTCCGTCTTGGAACTTCTGGTAACTTCATGTAAACAGGAGGAATTTTTGTTGACCATTGAAAGCAATGCTTCGAGTGAGCGTAGTTGTTTATGTATTACGGAGATAAAAATAGAGTTCCATTGACAAAGATAGTCATTTCTGGTCTTTACTACCGTTCGTTTTAATCAGTGTTGGTTTTAAAGACATTTTTCCTTCTATTGTCTAATTACCTCTGGGCTGTAATTTTGCTCTTTTCAGGTTTGGAATATACGAGATGGCTCTTGTATGTATCGACTTCATGGGCCAAATGGTCACACTTCAGCCATCACTTCTCTTCAGTTCCTCGACAACGGCATCGTAGTAACCAGTGGTGATGACGGTGCAGTAAAGTTGTGGGATGTTGTGAAAGGTGACAGCAGTGATTTGTTATTTATCCCGTAGCTTTCGTAATGAGACCACCCTTTCTTCCTCGACCTGCCGCTTTGAATTTGGGTCCTTGATTTCTGTTCTATAAAGTCTGCTTACCAGTTGTATGATTGCAGGAGAATTCGTCCGTGATCTCGTACGTCTATCATCGGGTGGAAGCGGTGGATGTATCTGGCGCCTGAAAGCCACTAATAATCTACTGGCATGTGCAGCGGGTTCTCGTAACGGAACTGAGGATACGAAAATCATACTGTTAGATTTCGACGCTGGTTATCCTTAGTCAGCTGGTTTTTGTCGTCTTTGTGTGATAGCCTAGCTTTTCTTATGAAAGGGTACGAATCGTTTGGTTACTATAGATCTGGGGCATGTCTTGAGTGTCATTCACTTGGTATGGTAATGTTTATGTTTATGGAAAGGATGGATATGGCGTCATGTTTACCTAATTAATTTGTTTGTCGGCAAACCGATACTTCCTTAAGCTGAAACTTTAACCTCTAGTTTGCCAGGTAGTGGCTGCTTCCATACTTCGACGATTCTATCGCGTGCGTGCCAACACGCAGGTAGAATCGCACGTAGAATCGTCGAAGTATGAAAGCAGCCAGTCACTGTTGAACGGTATGGGACTGGTTGAGTTTCGAGACAAAATGCTGGTTAATTTGCCAGACTCATTTATCACTTTGCTTGTACGGATGTTTTTAGAACTTTTGCTTTTTCTATGTACTATATGCGTTTTGTGGCTTCCGAATTCAAGGCAGAACTTTGATTCAGAATCCCTTATGTCTATCGATTTTCTCCTTCCTTTTAGTCAATTAATTACTAACACTTCTGCTTCTAGTCACAATGTAATTTGCTTACTTTCCAAATATTTTTGTTCTGTCTTTGTGTTCTGCCATCCTACTTTTAATTTTAGATCGCGATTATTGGTGTAATGCTTTAAGCTTTTCATGATATTGCTATGTTCAATTCCAGGGGATCTGTGTACTCCTCTCCAGTTTATAATGGGATTTTTGGTTCTGTTGTTTGTGGTGCATCATTGTCTTGTCGGGACTTATCTCATCAGTTGATTTTGATTATTTCGCGCTGGTGTTTTGTCTTTCATTCAATCCCTTGTTATCTGATGTGCCGAAGATGTCATAGCTATTCTACTGTAAGTATTGAGTCGGTCTGTAGATGAAATAAATAGTTCATGCTGTAACAATGAGAGAGAGTGCTGGCTACCTTCCAAGATGCTTTGCTTATTAAGTAAGTGTGATTTGAGAGACATACCTATTGAGTGGTTGTTGTTTGACTTTCGTAACGTCTTTTTTTTTTGAAATATTAGAATTAGAATAGTACCTCGAATAAGTGGGCTGGAAATAGAATACAATCATCTTAAGAAAACCTTTTTATCTACATGTGCGTGGATTTCAGGGCTTAATGTCTAGTAACTTTTAATGCTGATAAAGCAGATAATCCGGCAGTTAGGAAATACGAAAATTCGACCAGTACTTGCTGTGAAAAAGATCATACCACAAAAGATGAAGCTTGACTCACCTGAGTTCAGGTACGATTTTTCGTAAACCTCTGAATGTCAATGGACTTAGGGTTGGCGTGTGAAATGCTTCCTATTAATGGAGAACGTGAATTGATTAGTAAACGTATCTAGATGGGCGGCTTGTGATTTTTTTCTTCAGAATGGCGCAACTTCTTCCTTAAGAGGCTCAATCGTAGCGCTTAGTAGCCTCAGATCTGAATCAATTTTTCTTTGACAGTATTAAGAGTTGGGCACTAGTTGTACCATATTGCAGCCATGCTTCCGTTTGTCCCCTTTCACTAAAAATTCTTGCGATGTCTCTATTGTCTACATTTTAGGTTCGTTTACTTTCAGATCTCTTTTTACTCCACAGCTGAACACATTATCTAATCTATTCAAGAAGAACAACTATGACTTAAGGTGTGTTTTAAGAAGTTCTCCTACTTTCATTGAAAACCTGTCTGATTTCTGGGCGCGTGTTCGGAGTAATCTAGTAATATATAAGTGAATAGGATTGCTGGAGGAGCAGTGCGTGACTTGCTTATGGGGATACGACCGGCAGATGTGGATTTTGCGACTACAGCGACGCCTACGGAAATGAAGGTATCCTTCGGTAAAACATGTTTTTTTTTTTTTGCAATGAAGGTTTTTTGCAGGAGTTGTTTGAACGTGAGCAGATTCGGATGCTGCATAAGCGAGGAGAGGAGCACGGCACGATAACATGTCGTATAGATGATGCTGAAAACTTTGAGATCACAACGTTGAGGTGCAAAAAGGTCTAATTGCTTCTCTGAACACTTTTGGTTCGATTGGTTTTCATCCCCTTGAAGTTGTCGATGCATTTATCACATTCAGAATGGTTGTGATTTACAGGGTTGATGTGGTGTGTGATGGACGTCGTGCTGAAGTGCAGTATACAACCGATTGGCAGTTGGATGCTAACCGAAGAGATTTGACCATCAATTCGCTTTTCCTTGGTAAGGGCAAAAAACGACCTTGCGTAGCCTCAAAAGGTTGGCGATTCATGGACAAAACCTCAGTTACACTATCGAAACCCGCTTGCCCTCGCCTTCTTAATGGCTTTAAGCATGGCTTTTAAGTGGCTGAATTCCCGCAGTTGGCATGGTTACCAAACTTTCAGTGCTGCGAAAGCCGCAACTTCAAATTGCTCCTATTCTCTCGTTTTATATTACGATTAGTCTAATCTGTGATTATCTCTCCCTTTATTCTTTTTATGATCAGCTGATTATTAGATTTGGATGGAAATGTGGTCGACTATTTCGGTGGCATTGGAGATATCGAGAAAAGACGTGTCGCTTTTGTTGGTGATGCAGTGCAAAGGATTCAAGAAGACTATCTCAGAATTTTGAGGTGATCCTTTCTGTTTACAAGAATACGCCTTACTTTCGCGGCCTTGGCATGACTTCTTCCAGACTGGCTTAGTATGTGAGAGTATGTAGTCGACATATATCACACGACATTTTCTCAACATATAGATCTAAAAATCATCTGAATTTCACCTTTGGCTGACTCGTTGATAAGCGGAAGCACATTTGAACTACTCTGCTGATTTCTGGTGCTTGCTATGAGCGGAGAATATTACCTCTTCTCATTCCTCACACTTTTGAGGAAAATGCCTCAGTGATGGTATGTCATCCAAGGTATCTTGAGAGCTCATAGATAGGTCTGGTTCGGACCCATGATCGCTGCATTGCAGTTGCCAGTAGAGAGAATCAAATTGGAGGATTCGTGCGAAGGGTTCTTTGTACATTTTTTCCACAAACTCTATAATATCGAAGAGTTGCCAGTACCCTCAGACAGAATTGAAATGGAGGCTAGGCTGAATAAAAATCTGTTGCTTTGAATTTTGAAATCAAATAGAAAAAATTGGTGAGACTGGAGAGAGCACAGCAGACGTGCGTCCCCCTTTTCCTCTTTTGAAAAAAGTGGTTCCAAAGACTAAAGGCTAAAGTTTTTGAGCACTAATCAATCTTTCCTGAGATGTGCTTCAGCTCTTGACTTCCTATCGGAATCGCAGCAGCATTTCGAATACGTATTTGGACGATAAAATGACTCAAGGTGATCAGCCGATATTCTATTCATTGCTTTAATCCTCCCAGACGAGTTAGGTTCAAGTGGGCCAACTGCTGAGAGAAGGAACGTAGTTGGACGTATGGGTGTCAAGCGCCGGGGTTCGATGCCCATACCATGCATGTGGTATTGCTCTTCAATTGCAACTATACCGCCATCGCCTTAGAGCGGACTTATTTATGAGGTTATAGGATAATGAAATCTTGGCCAAGGCTAGAGTGAGGGAATTGCTGCTGGCTGTTACTTTAGGTCAAGGAAAAAGTGAAGCAAATGCGGAAGGAACCGTTTGTCTTGTTGACATTAATGTTCACAATGTTGTTCGTGAAAGACGATGTTAATCTTTGCAAAATAGTGGTTGTTCAAAAGCCAGTGAGTGTAGAACCCATCTAAAAATCTAAAAATATGTATGTGCTGTAACTTTGGATAGTTTTTTTTTGTTTTGCACATTTATCAGTAATCTCAAAGCTTCATTCAGGTACTTCCGATTTTTTGGACGAATCTCGGAATCAACTGAGCACGACGCTGACACATTGAAGGCTATTAAGGACAACAGCCAAGGNAATAGTGGTTGTTCAAAAGCCAGTGAGTGTAGAACCCATCTAAAAATCTAAAAATATGTATGTGCTGTAACTTTGGATAGTTTTTTTTGTTTTGCACATTTACAGTAATCTCAAAACTATTCAGGTACTTCCGATTTTTTGGACGAATCTCGGAATCAACTGAGCACGACGCTGACACATTGAAGGCTATTAAGGACAACAGCCAAGGATTAGCAGTAAGAGCTTCAGTTTTCCATAAACTCCCTTCTTACATTTTTCATGCTTTGCAAGTAGTAATGAACAACGAATAAATTTTTGCAGTTTTCAGCCTTTTCGAGATTGTTTTCGTGATGTTTCAGGGTATCAGTGCCGAGCGTATATGGACAGAACTGAAACGTATAGTCATCGGCCGCATGGCAGACCATGTAATAATTTTTTCTGTCATTTTTCTCAAATATTTAAGTTGATGTCCCACTCACAGTAAGCCTCAGGCTAATCCAAAATATTTTTAATTCTGAGCTATTAGAGAATACCTTACCATGCTTTGCTTGTTTCAATAACCTTTGCCGGAAAGAAATGCTGCTTTACAGAAACTGTTCAGTACAAGATGGTGGCATCAAAAGTTCCGATGAAATATGGGAATTGATTCAGGTGATCCGGTGTATGCTAGAGGAATGCAAGCTGCAACAATATCTCGGACTACCAGAAAAGTGCAATGTGGATCGTTTTGCTCGTGTAAGTCACTAAGTCATGCTGCAACAATATCTCGGACTACCAGAAAAGTGCAATGTGGATCGTTTTGCTCGTGTAAGTCACTAAGTCATGCTACTAATACATCAGATTGTTGCTGAATGGGGATCCTTTCCTAAGCCCATGCGGATCGATAGGGGCTGGAAATAGCTAACTTGGAAAACGGGCAGTCGGCCGGGTTACCAAGATAAGGACCTTCACGCACAAACGGTCTTTTTGAGTGTCCTGCTGCTATTTGATTGCGATAATTGCTGATCTGCTGTCGGGCGGTGTATTTCGTTTACAGTTAACTCCTGTTAATGAGGGATAAGGAAGTAAGGCTTTATCAAAGCATCATCTGGGCTGAGCGCAGGTGGGATGTAGGGTGTCGAGCGTCACACAACAAGGTCGAGGTCCGTGTATCAGATCCGTAATCGATACCCGCCCACGCCATCCCCGCCATCCAGTCCGCGATCGGGTAATTGGTCGCGGATTCGTCTGTGACAGCGATGACATGAACAGTGGTGGGCCTGCGCCAGTTATAGTACGCATTCTGTTGCCGCTACGTTCTGGATGGAAGTCGATTGCGTGGCGCATCTCATATAGGGACTGGTCAAAAGATAACAACTGATGAGGGATTAGGAGTTCTAGAAGGCAAAAGTCATGGAGTCCCTTCATATTAACTGGTGCGTAGAGATTTGGGGTGTAAGGGAGGTAGACGATTGGTGAGAGAGAAACTGAAAGCAGCTGACAACGGCTGGTAAGTGGTCATAAAATGCAAGAGTTACTGAGTAATCAACGACTCGTGTTACCAATGGATGCTTAGCATCACAATGTGGAGCACGATGAGATCGAAATGGCTGGTGCCAGGAACGTATAAAAAGTGTCAAGGGCCTGTAAATGGCCCTAGCCACTGAGTTTCTCGTGCTCTTCATGATAGCAGTTCAACCTTGCCACCTTGTTTGGAGGTTTGGGACTGAAGAAATCTCAGATGGTTGGTGATAGGAGATGATATCAGCTAATCTATAAAGGGTGATTATGGGCGTCAAAAGACAAAAATCAAGATCACTATCTATCACACATTGGAGCCGTGCTGCTTCACTGTGTGGTGTAGGGTGTGACTGGATTTTGGTACCGGATGAAAGGACAACTGGCTGTTCTATGGGCTGCTGGGGTCAAAGTCAGTTTCATGTTAGAGGAGCAAATTTGGGTTTAGTTCTTGTTATTATATAGGGCCGAAGTGGTGTAGTAGCAAAAGGCGCACTATCACACACACATGATTGGAAGATTGAATTCCAGATCGATTTGTTCAGGCCAACCGAGCCTTTCATACATCCGGGGTCATTTAGTTGATACAATACTTTCTGGTAGAATTGAAGCACTAATTGTATTGTATATCGGGTGGCCACCGCAAGTTACTGTATTGGTCACATGCACACCATTGTGGGGGCGCACCCCAAAGCGGGATTGATGAACATCAAAAATTTTATCTTTCATCCATACATTATATTACCGTCACTAATACATTTCAAGCATCTCGACCCCTGATTTAAATCCATAAGATAAAAACAGTCAAATATTTTTATATTGAAGTTGTCATCTTTGACATTATTGGTGATACCTCTGAGGAATTATAGAAGGGAACCTTCACCAGCGTTAGAGAGAAGAATCAAATCCTCGATGGATAATTATTGTTAAGGAAGGAATAAATCGAGACTTGAAATGTTAGACTTCCTTTTGAGTTACTCGGTTTATGCCGAACTCCTCCTCGTGAGAACCCTCTATCAAATTTGTGGTGCTAGTGTAATTCTGAGCATCCTTTCAAAAATTTTGTTATCATGATTGTTTATTCGGTCGAAACGAGGTACTAGAAACATAGAAATGCAGAGAAACTGAAAACGCCCAAGGGAGCTATGCCGAAATTTCAGCATCCCAACAATTTCCTTCAGATGTTTTGTTGTTGAATAAATTCCATAAATAAAGGATTCCTTTAGCCAGTTCGTGGTTGTTACACAAGAGCATGATTCTTCAGGTGTTTTCGAAATACAAAGGAGGCCTCGAACCAATGACTATGATCGCGTCACTTTGTGAAAGCCCGAAGGAAATTGAACACTTTCACAGAAAAACTAAGGTATCTTCTAGAAAAGACATGCCTATTGTTTGTTTCGTTTATAGTCCGGTGAAAATTTCCGAATCTATTCCCTCAGTTTCTGTTTTTATCGATTTTACCTCCAGCTTTTTGTATGTGGGAAGATTTTGAGTTGCTTAACCCAAGGAGGAGAAACGGTTGGACTGTTCTACCATAGTAATCTACTGCTTATGTCATTATCCTTAATATTGTAGCTGTCAAATGCTGAACGAATTCTCGGAGAGTTCATTATCAGTCACAGGAAAGAAGCCGAGCACGCTTTATCTAGTAACAACATCGAGTGGTGGAAGGACATGATCGTTGAGCTGGAAGTGACTCCGGGTCATGGTGAGCTACCTACGTAAACACTAACATTTTTATCAATTTTTCGTGGTTAAGTATCGCCTGAAAACTACAAACTACACTGGATCTGTTTTGGCGTTGGATCCTTTAGACGTCATTGTGTTATGCGAGGTGTGATGTGATCGTAGATAACGAGTGACAAGAGCTGATAGTAATTGATAAGCCGTGGGGTGGAGTATGGCGTCATGGGGTAGTGCTCATAACAACGTCATGGGACTGGTGAGAGAAATCATAACAACTGCTGAGGGTAATGTGGGACATCACAATGCAGGACTAAAGGGACGCGCTATACCTTCAATTTTGACACATTGACCTTGAAGAGNGTGTTTCCCGTGAAAGGTCTTACAAACTTTCACTCCATCACTCATATTTTTGTTAACACCAAAATCAGTTTGAATTGTAATTGTTTTTCTCCTGAGGTCGAGACATCTCTAGATCATATCGGATCAGTTAGAGCTATCTATATTTTCAGGTCTGGATCTGATGAGTGCTGGTGTAGAAAGAGGTCCTAAGATGAAACTGACGCTCACATACCTGTTTGAATTATGGCGAAAGGTTAGGCAAGAATTTATGCATGAGCTAAGATCGAAATGGAACTATATCTTGCCTCTCTTGTACGATTCACTAAAATGCAAAAAAGGGTACCACACTGTACTTTCTGGGTGCGCTTCATTGCGCGCGTCCGTCGAAACTAGGTCGCGCCGCAGCCGTCCCACGCGGCTGGTCAGCCCGCGATCTTTGCAAACGTCGCAGTTGACAGCGAGGCATACGAATTGAGCTTGGTCCACGGCATTCAGCCAAAAGAGAAGATAACACGACCAAATGCAAATCATTCGCTCCACCGACACTTAATGGTACTGTAATGTCATCTCAAGACCTCAGTGGAGTGCGCCGCGCGCGAANTGGGCGGGGTGACCTACTTTCTACGGACGCGCGCAACGGACGTTCTTCATACTTTCTCCACCTCTCACCCACAAAGTTGTCGCAGCGCATGCTTCGAATTCGTAAAAAGCTCTACTGGGCCAATCAAGCCTTCCATCCCTCCGGGGTCGGGTAATTAGTACTAGACTCGTCTGGGAGGATAAAACCACTATTTTGTACATCGGCTGGCCACCGCAAGTCATTGTATAGGCCACATACGCATTCATTAGGCCATTACAATTCTGAATGGAAGTCGAGTGCGTAGACGCATTATTGGGACGGGATCAATCAGCGCTCCAAGACTCAGCTTTCCTTGCCTCTCGGCTTCCCTTAGCTGGAAATGTTATTACTTTCTGAATCAGGAAAATGGTTATAACAACAAAATTTTTTCACACTAACCAGGGGTGGCCACCGATGTATAACGCGACGCTTTTATCCTTCCATACGGATATGGAACAATAGAACGACTACTGAGGGATGGAGGACCTGGTTTGCCCGAGTTAGTCTCGATCCGGGATCCGATCTCCGGACCACAAGTGCCATATGCCGTTGCAATACCTGCGCCCTTGTTACTTCTTACTGTAGTTGTACTTCTATAACATGCGAACACTGTATTAGCAGCAGGCCTTGGCGATTTTTTTCTCAGATGGGAATTATAGTATCCACGTGTTCTGTCTTACTGTTGGTTTTATGTATCCTACTACTTTTTTTTGTAGAGTAGGTACGAAATGGCCAAAGAAGAGTTGCTTGGTCATGCTCATGATGAAGCTATACCGGATCCAGCACCTACTGGGCGAATGCCAAAAAAGCGACGTCATCAGGATTCAATAAAAGATACTTAGTTGTTCATATCACTACCACTATTCCGGTCCACGATACTCAGTTCTCAGTACAGTGAGAAAGTTGTTATGAATTAGTCTTCACCTCGTTATCACATTTGTTTTGTACTGTTGTTCGATAAAGTCTAGAAATGATGGTTTTATGATTTTGAGGCGGTAGGATTCATTTCGCTTTTTATGCTCTGGTTAGTGGCAGGGTTGTTAGCTGTAAGCTATTTGAAAGGCCAGTTCCGTTCCCATTGAAAGCAGGCGTAAGGGTAAAATATGATAGGTTAACTTGAATGGTTCAGGAGTTTCTTGTCTTGACGACGATGGAGGCTTTTCCGAATTTTGGAAAGGAGAGTTCACAGTTCCTGTTTCAGCAAATACGTCGTATTTGGAGGTAGTCCTGGTTGTTTCAACGTTTACTCTATTAACAGGAAGAAAACGTTTACTCATTTTGTTGTCCGTGAAATAAGTGAGGAATGAAGAAGAGGGAGGTTTTCCTAAGGATGAATACTTGGAGGAGTTCTCCTAGGTTGTTAAAACAGATTAGAACTGCTAATTTCTTACTGTGACTGCATGTGCGGGCGGAGGTGGCGTAGTGGCAAGTGGCGCACTATCGCACATGCATGGTCACGAGTATGCGGATAAAGATATGCCTAGGTCAACCAAGGCGGCCATCACTCCGGGGTCGATAGCTGGTACCAGACGTCTGGAAAGATAAGAGCACTGACTTGTACATCGGCTGGCCACCGCAAGTCATTGTATAGGCCACATACGATTCTTGTATAAGCCACATACGATTCTGAAAGGGCATCGATGCCGGGACTCAACCTTTTGACGGGAGCGATTAATGCTCAAAGGTCTTATCCTTTACACTTGAACTGCATGTACACTTGTGACCGGGACATTTGATGACTTCCTAGTTTCATTATCGCGCTTATGACAAGACACATTAAAGCAAAAAACACAGCGAAGTTGATGAGTTTGATATCCAACTTAATATTTGTAACCTTCCTTTCTACTTTCCGATGTTGTTGAATCCTCTCCGTTCCGCTACTACTTTCTTGCTCACGTCTGAAGTTAAACCCTCTATCTTAAAGGCAACGTTTACGATAAATTTAGGGTACCCTTTTTTGACGGGAATTCATAGAAGTACTCTAGAATAAAGCGATAACAACGAAGAAAGCGCAAAAACGATGAACAAAAAGAAATAGAAAGGGTCAAAAAAGAGCTAGGAAGGGGGATTGGACGAGTTTCACCTCGGAGGAACGGCGGTTAAGGGAGTGTTCGCGCGAGTGCACGAAGGCGACGCAATGTCTGCAATAGCAGACAACACACCCAAGCAGACAACTTCGCTCAATGCGAAAGTGAAGAACGGCAATTAGAACTCGTAGTCAGCCTAGCGAGGGGCGGAGGCCTCCCGTCCCCCCACTGTTNCAAATGGTATCAGAGGGGGCGTCGAATTCAAACCATGCGCAGATCTCCGAAACCATTTCTTCGTGAACAGTGCCTTTAACTGGTTCCTGAATCAGGCAAACAATACAACATACATGATGCATTGTTTTTTTTCTACATCCATCTTCATCATAGAGCGATAGACGACGACGTAGTTCTTTCCAGCAATACTACTATATAACATTGCTGCGTGGCTCAATTTTGGTTGAGAATACTACTGAACTAGAACGTTTTATATTGCCGAATCTGCGCCAAATACTCTGTGTAGGTGAGTTGAAAAAAGATTAGTCCTTTTTTTAGCTTGAGCCTCTCTTATAGTACTGCAAACCTTTTCTACATACTTCACTTTTCCTGTTCCCTGTTCTTTGCTGGTCCTGCTTTTTTTCCTCGCTCATTCTCTCCTGCTGCTTACACTTCAGTGCATCACACTTCGAAAAGGGTATTAATAACAAAATTCAACTTCTCAAATGATATAGTGTTAGGAGAGGAGAAATCGCAAACAGTACTACAGCATCTGTTGTACAGATCCACTTGACAGTAATTTTAGCCCTCGATCCATTTTATCGCTTATATTATAAGAGCCTTTTGATAAGAGTTCCAAATCCCAAGTTGCGACACAAAAACTGCAGGAGACAGCGATATACAGCGTGTCTTACATATTGCCGGAGAGATCGCTCTCTACAATGAGGAGATCGGCTACTCCAAACTGCCTTCTTCGCTACGACAAAAAGCCTGACCAACCTGAGGCATCCTTTTTCAACTCCAAAACGCACGGCTTCATCACCCACGAATTGTTCGAAGAGAGGGTGACCTTCTTTAGCAGAGATTTCTTACATTTTTCAGAGTAGGAAACTCGCAAATTATAGTCTTGATTCAATAACAGTCAATCATTAGCTGCTTTCATAGTCCGCCGGCCGGCGTGCCGGCGGAGGCAGTGCTAGGGGGGAGAAGGGAGGCAGACAGTGTAAGGCAAACAGGCAACGCCCCTTCGAAGGTTGTTTGTTTTCAACCCCTGGAAGGGGCGTGGACTGTTTGCCTATCTGTCTGCTCCCTCCTCCCCGCTAGCACTGCCTCCGCCGGCACGCCG